GGAATGTAAACTTCACTCAAAGTATTAGTGCATGATAGATACATCTGATTATGAGAAGGTGACAAATCATAATTTTGACTTTTTTTTTTTTCAGCCATCTGTGAAATGGCTCAAAGTAGACCATGGAATGTGGAGCTACTGAGCAAATTAAGATGGAATTAGATTATTCATAGGGAACAAATCTGCTTAGGGCAAAATGTAAAACATTAAAATAAAAAGTGGAATTAACTGGTTCCATAAATACCAACATCCTGTCCTAACACAGTTCTAAAGTTTTGGTTGGTTCCAGCATTTTTGACTTCACACAACTTCAGTGAAGTTCACAGATTTGTGGGGGGGAGGGGGAGGAATGCAAAAATAACAGTTGAATTACACTTGTTTTTATCTTCATTTTAACTAAATCACAGATCCTCAACTACAAACATTGCACCACAGGTCGCTAGTTGTTACATCCGCTGCACGTTGCTTTAAAGAGGGAAGAAAGAAAACAGCCACATTTCCAAACGCGCCGCTCCATTTTTTGTTTTCAAAAGTGAATTGAAACTTTTGAACCGTACGCATTCGCAATTCTTTTTGAAATACTTCCCTTTTGCTCTGTAACCTCAACGTTGCAACAGATACCTGAGTGGGTATAAAAACCGGCGCTCTGCTCACATTCAGACATCGAGGTCGAAGCAGCTCAACTTGGGTTTCTGAAGCTCCAGCCGGAAAACGACACTGAAAAAAAAAAATGAAGGCGTTCACTCTTGCCGTTGCCGTGGCCATTGTGGTGACAATCATTGGGGTTCAGGAGAGCTCTGCTGACCTGGTGATTGAGGTAAGGACTTCATCCACACTGATTTCTAGTTTGTGTTACTGACGACGTTTGGTGTACATTAACAAAACTCTTTTACAGGGACCTGAACTGATGGACGAATTGACCAACGGCAGACCAGTTCCTGCTGGTCAAGACATCCCAGAGGACTCATGGAAGGTAAGCTGAATAAATTAACGTCAGTCTGACTGTAGATATATAAACCCTACAGATTTAGATGTTAGGTTATTGAAAATGTTCTCTCTTTTTTTGCTTTTTGAGATAGGATTATTTCTTTATTTGCACTTGAACATTTGAACATGTTGACAATGACATCTACCCTTCTAAATAAATATTTTCTTAAATTTGCATTTATTGGCCTTACAGCTGCATTTATATATATATATATATATATATATATATATATATATATATATACACACACCTTGAAATGCTCGGCTATAAGAGCAACCATGAGACCCAATATCCATCATATATTATTATATATATATATATATATACATACACACACATATATAACTTTGTGACTTTGTGAGTTTCTCATTTGTAACAATACTAGTTGGGAGGTACTTTATCAAATAGGTGGTGGAATGACATTTCTTTTATGTCCCTACACAGATGCCGTACAGCTCAGTCCACATGCAGCGCCGTCGCTGCCGCATCTGCTGCCGCTGCTGCCCCGGCATGAGAGGCTGCGGCATCTGCTGCAGATTCTGAGAAGCCAGAAGAAAACTTCAACTACACACACACACACACAAAAAAAAATCCCTTCTCTGCATTCGCTCTTTTCGATGTAGTTGAATATTGCCTTACTTTTTGAAGGATGTGAGTGGATTTCATCTCTTCATCCATATTGCTTGTGGAAACATGCAGACGTGTCCTGCAAAGTATAATCGCTGCAGAAGGCGCTAATTTGAGAAGAGGTGTGATGTTTTTTTTTTTTTTCCGTAATAAATGTTACTCCTCGATACATTTCTTCGTGTTTGTGCTTCTTCATGTTTGCTGGCGGGTTGCTAAGTTGTTGCTAAGTAGCAAGAATAAAACCTCTTGAAAATCTGCTTTTATAGCATACATTGCAGCACAGGGGTTTAGTGGCTGTTTTTCAACATAAAATAATTTATATTTAAGCCTATATTTTAATTAATTTATGGAACTACAATAGTCCCAATAAGTATTTCATTTTTGTTTCTGAGCGTGTTTTTGCTCAAACCAAATATCTGCATATTTACTGCTGTAATTCTCATACATTTTAAATTTATTTACCAAAATGTATGACTATATATGCTCATTTAGATTTTTCAGTATTTTTTAAACAAAATTAAAGTTCCTCACCTAAATATCATCAAAGGTCAGAGGTTTTCCAAGCAGGACAGAATTTTCACTTTTTAATAAACTCATGGATCTTCCTCATTAAAGCTAAATCTGTAGTAATTATACAATAACTTCACTTAAGCAGGGGTTATGCTACTTCAACATATTTTTACTCAAGTAAAAGTAAAAGCTGTCCAAAAATTGCTCAAGTAAGAATAAAAAAGTGTTTCTTAAAAAGGCTTTTCAAGTAGCGAGTAACTGGATGGGATCATCTGATTTAATATTTTAAAATGATGTTGTCAGACAATCAGAAATGCAAAATTATTAATTCTGGTATTTTAAAGTCTAAAATGAAAAAAATAAAATAAAATAATACAAATAAATAACCTGATTGCCAAACAACAGATTAAGGCATGAGAAACACTTTTCCAACTCTTTAAAAGAATGAAACAAAACAAAAAACTTATATAAAACTTGTACCAGTTGGTAATGAAGATATACTAGGAAGACAGAAATATAAAGGAAAAAAATATCATTAGAATAACAAAACAAACAATAGATCTCACTTTAACTCAAACTGTAGCTGATTGTATCTCATGCATTTTTTGTTTNTCNTTCATTCTGCTGAGTGGATAGTGTATCCACAGCTTTTACTTAAGAAAGTCTGACATTACTGATGTTTTTTGGGGTCAACGTCAAACAAGTACAGCGTGTGAAACAGAAAGCCTTAAAGGCATTTCTATTTTTTTCCCAGCCATTTCATACATATCTTGTGCACATAAAATACATATTTAAAAAAAAAAAAGTTTAATTAACTGGTTCCATAAACAGTTTTGGTGAAATTCAACATTTCCGAAACTAATTTCACACGCACATTTAACTAATGGTGGTAGGAAACTCCTGCCGTTTGGTCCTTCACATCCTTAAGTTGTTTGCAGAAGCCAGTAGAAGACAAAAACACTCCAAAGCAAAATGTACCAAATCCAACAGAGCAAAGAGAATCTATGTCAAGAAATGGAGGAAAAAATGTCTCAACTTAAAACTAGGACAACAAAAGAGCCTTCTTATGTTATCTTCCAAAACTACACAAACAAATACAAATAAAGAAATCACCCAAATAGGGATGCACTATATTGGATCTTTCTATACTAAAACTATCAGAAGGATATTGAAAACCAGCAGAGAAGATGGTGTTTATGCAGGAAGTAAAGTCAACATTTCAAGGTGCTAAACAGATTCCAGCTGCAACAAAACGTGTAAGATGCTCTGTGTGGATGGGTCTAACTGTACCAACTGTTCAGCTCTAACCATTTGAGATTTCACAACATCTCTGCTAAATTCAATTTTGAAAAGCACAAAAGTTACACAATCGGATCTTTGATTCTGCTGGCGTGGATTTAGACATTTTTAAAAGCGGCAAGATGTCGCTTTGAAGAATTTTCATCCTAAATGAGTGAAGGTATGGCACCGATTTGTGACTATATGAAAATGTGAAAGGACTGGAGTTTGTTTTCTAAACATGGAGAAAACAAACATAAGGAAAAGAAAATCTTCAAAAGACGGGTAAATGATTCTTTTTCTGACAAACAAATCGCATAATTATTGTGCTGTACAACAGATTTCTTCATTTCCTCAGGAAAACAACCTGAGTCCCAGCCCGTCACACAGAACGCTGTGTGCTGATGATGGTAACATGTCTGTGTTTTGCTGTGGCTGCACTGAAACACAAAGTGAAGCTGGGTTTCCTGCAGTTGCGCAATATTTCTCCTTTCTTTTTTTTTTCTTCTTTTTTTTGGTGTTCCACTACTCTGATACAAGAAAACATATTTACCCCACAAGCAAAGTGTGTCTTCATTGTACCTGCTTGACACAAATAAAAGGAAGATGAATTATCAAAGGGTTTTTAGGCTTGTGACTTTTTTTTTATTTTTATTGATTTTACAGCTCCTGGCGTAGTAGTTCTTCTTGTTGGGTCTATGTTCCCAGTTTGTGAGGGAGCTCCCTTTTCTAAATAGCTCATTTCTTTTAGTGTGTGTGTTTGTTTTGATTATTCTCATTTCGGTTTTATTTCAATTGGATTCGTAAGTCTAGACATGCACGTTTGTTTTTCCTTGCGTCTAGTTTTGTAGCTAATTTTTAAGATTCGACTGTTTTTATGTTTCTCTTCATCACTCATGTCAAGTTCCAGTGTTAGTATCTTGGTTTTCTTCCTTACTAATTACTCAGTGCTACTCATTTTATTGTTTTTGTCCTCATGTTTAGTTTCTTAGTGTTCTTGTATACCTGTATCGCCGTTTCTCCTATTGATTCCAGTTTCTGTTCAATGTCAGAGCTGTTCCTTATTTTACTGTTAGTTTACCAGGCTTACGTGGTAAACAATCAATCCCTTTGATAATAAATCACTTTAGTGAACACCTGCACACTGCCTCTGCAATTATGTTCATTTGTGTGTGTACGTGTGTGTGTGTACGTGTGTGTGTGTGCGTGTGTGTGTGTCAGTCTGACAAAACCCCTGAAGATTACATCAGCAGACTGTAGAGCTGCGTCTCATGCAGAAGAATAAAAATTATGCAACATCTAGAAGAATGTTTTTCTGAACTGCTGAACATGTGAACTGACTCACTTACTGTAAGCAGAGACTAAACGTACAAACTGTCTCTACAGTGGCTCAGATTTCCCAACATTCAGCAGATCCACTACAGCCTTTTAGAAGTAAGCCATAAAAATAACTCTTTATGCTAAACCTATAAAACAATGAAGGAATATCATTCTGTTCTTTTAAAACTAATTCAAAGTTGAAACGTAACATTCAAACTTTCTGCATCGCATATTGTTTATCTCTCCCCTGCAGTGGGAAATGCTGAGCTGATCCCATAACGTGTCCCTGGTTGTGATGCAACAGCTGCCCTGGTGGGTATAAATACCAGCACCTTTGCTACGTCCGATCATCAGGCAGGAGGAGTAAAGAGCCGATATCAAGCTCAGAACGAATCCTTCAGATTTTAAGTACTTCACCCGGTCAAGATGAAGACGTTCCCCATCGCCGTCGTCGCCGTGGCCCTCGTCGCCGCGTTCGTCTGTGTTCAGGAGAGTGACGCTGTTGCACCCGCTGAGGTAAGAGCTTCATCTGAAAGTCATACCGTCAAAATGTTACCATGTTGATTCTAAATGTGCCAAATGAACTGTTTGCAGAGCTCTGATCTGGTGCAGCTGCCCACTGACTACGGCATACTCAATTCGGCTCAAGATATGCCAGGGGACTCAATGGATGTAAGGGTTAACTGGATGAATGAATGAATGAATGAATGAATGAGATGTTTATGATGGGATTTTTCTTAATTTGTGGCCCAAGGAAGGGAGATGTGGGGATGTTAATAAAACACTTTCCTCATGTCCCACAGACGCCATATGAGTCGGCCATGATGCGTGGTCGCCGTCGCTGCCGTTTCTGCTGCGGCTGCTGCCCCGACATGGTTGGCTGTGGAACCTGCTGCAAGTTCTGAGGAAGTCCTGCTGCCGCCGTAGCAACATGAAGAAATAAAAAGCAACACAGCGTACCTAGTGCACATGTTTTCAACCTGTTAGCACATTTTTACAAGGTGTTTGTGGATTATGTGATTGTAACACAATGTATTTACTTTTACTTAATCTCTTTCAAAAACATGAGCTGATATTACAACTGTATTCGTCAACAAATGATATTATAACTGAGCAGAGATGTGTAGAAAAAAATGGATATTAATTCTGCTTAGATAATTTGTATCATGGCTTGAATAATGTATGTTTTCACAATAAATGTTATCACACTTCACTAATCTTCTGTGTGTGTGTGTGTGTCTCTAAAGGCGGTGGTGGGTTTAACATGTTTTTGTCGTTTAGTCTGTGGAACCCGTTCCCATTTGGAAACATTTTAGAATATCAAGTTTTTTGAATTACAGAAATCAGAGACACACATTAAAGAATATTGATACTCAAAAAAATGACTATTTCACCCTTAACAGATATTTGGGTAAGAATACAAGAATTAAATAAATCATCAGTGAGGATTTAGTTGTCACATTGTGCAATAATATTAATCAGTTCAAAAATACTTAATTATTTTATGTCAGATACTTCATTTATCCAAGTATCTTTAAAGAATCAATGTTAATGGATTTTCACACATATTTCACACATCAGTATTCGCTAAATTTGGTTAAAAATTCATTGTGTAGCCTAAATGCTTTGACTCATATTTGGGGTTTCTCAGTCTGCACTTGAAAGATCAGCACAATATCATCAGAACATTGTGGACCAATTTCACAGTGGCCACAGACAAACGTGTCCAATCATGCGCAGTTAGCTCACAAATATTTTGAAGCTGTCGGTCATCGTCAGAAACAGACACACTGACTCCCTCCCAGCATGCCGTGCGGCTAAGCGAACAGACTGTTCTCCGTCGGATTGGAACATTCTCGGTCGCACACTTTCATCCTCCAAAACAACAACCACTATGAACAAAACAAAACTTCTGGACTGGAGTGGGTCGGATTTATCGTCTCATTTTCAAAGATAACACATCACAGACGTTTTATTTTCTTGCTTCCCCTTTTTGAAAAAATGCATTAAAAAAAAACTCATTTACAGGTAAGAACATCCAGAAAACATTCTCCAGCCCTTCACCCTGTTCCTCCCATTGAACACTGGGGGGAAAAAACACAAAGCTGCTGCAGTAAATACTGTCAGTGGTTATGCAACAGCTGCCGAAGTACAAATACCAGCTGATTTCTCACATTCAATCATCAGACTGACATAAAGGCCAGAGTGAAAAATGTACAAATACTCATAGACAAGTAGCAAATACGTATGCAGTTTGTGTCTGTAAATTTGTTTGTTAATCTGGTTAAAAGATCATTAAAATGTTTGTCGTTTAGTTTAACTTTACTGATTTCTCCATCAACCCATGAATTAAAATCATGAGCTTTTAAGGTTCTCGCAGCGTCAGATGCTCTCGAGTGACGAGTCAAAATGTCGGCCCCACAACATGTCAGCTTCTCTTGCTCAGAGGATTTCACTGGAAGTGGCCGATCTGTTTCCCGCATGTAGCGGCTTTGTAGAAACAACGTTTAAGCAGAAAAATAATACATTTTGTCCTAGAAGCTAAGCTTTTATCACAAAGTATCAAAGTGTAGCTACAATAGCTTTTAACCCAGAAAAGGATTTAGATCAGTCACTCTTTAGCTTATTTTATCAGAAACTGTAGAGTACTCACTATTTAGAAATGGAATTAAATAGTTAGCAACCCTGAACAGGAGCACTTAGTTTACATACTTTAGAACATTATATTAGTTTTCTTTCCTTTGGTTTGTATTTCCTTTTAACTCCTGTAAAACACTTTGAATTGCCTTGTTGCTGAAAATGTGCTATATAAATAAAAGTATCTTACCTTACAGCTCAGTTTTTTTTGTCATAATGGCGTATATGACGAGAGAGATTGTGCCGCCTATTTTATGAAGTTTACATCAAATAGACATATTCACAAAATCTGTAGTTTTTGTTGTTCTGCACCTTTTTTGGACCATAAGACGTTTATCTCTGCTACACAGAACTAAAAGAAAAAATGGTAACATCTCTTTTTATTTGGTGTATGTAAACATCTGATTTCAGCTGTATGTAAAAAAAAAAAAGAAAAAGAAAAAAAAAACACACTTTACACCCCAGTGCTTGTTAGAAAGGACTTCCTGCCATATCTGTGCATATATGTGCACAGATCTGTCTAGAAGCTTCTTGAGAAGAAGAAAAAAATAAGAGACATTTGTTTTCACTCCTTGGTTTTTTGGGGGGATTTTTTCAATCCGACCAAAAGACTTGAACAAGCCACCAAAATGATATCTTTGTACAGCTCACGCTACATTGTCAGGTAAACATTTTACAAGTGCTGAACTTGCTTTTGAACTGAGGCAACATTACACACCTGACTTGGCTTCTGTGTGAGGGAGTTTCTCAGCGGGTCAGGATGTTCCGGATTTCTCCATTTCTGACTTTTCTCTCCTCTCCGATCAAATGAAAATGAGAAACTGAAACGTTTGTGAAGGAAAGCCATGGTTTATTTTAAGTAGATTAGTGTCTAATAAACATATTATTAGTGCGGATTAAGCTGCTGGTTTGTTGCTGTGGTGTCTTGTTTTAAACTGGAAAAATGGCAAAAACTGACAGATTTCACAAACTAAATCTACTAATATTTCGAAATATCCCATTTCTAGCCCAGATATCTGACTGTGGGGAATTCCTGGGTGACGAGGCAACAGCTGCATCTTTGTGAATATAAATAGGAGCACTTTCCTCACACTCCATCATCAGAGAGAATTCAAGGACTGATGTCAAGATCAGAAGCAAATCTATTAGATCTAGATCTGTCCAGCTCTCAGTAACATGAAGACGTTTGCCGTTGCGGTCACCGTTTCCCTCCTGCTCACTTTCCTCTGTGTTCAGGAGAACTCTGCTGTTCCTGTCGACGAGGTGAGAGCTTCATCTAAAAATACATTCATCCATTTATTCACCCTCATGCGGATATTAAAATGAAGCGTCTTGACAGGGCCTCGCGGTGCCGACTGATGACGGCTCACTCGCCGCAGATCAAGACACACCGGAGGAATCCTGGAATGTAAGCTGGGTGACTCGATGAGATACTTCAAAATAAAAGCATGTCTGATTTGGAAATGGCAGGGAACAGCATGACAATAAGAAGGCAGATGAATGAACACCTTCCTCCGGTTCCCCCTCAGATGCCGTACGACTCGGTTCACATGCGCCGCCGCAGACGCCGCCGCCGCTGCCGTTTCTGCTGCGACTGCTGCCCCAACGAGAGTGGCTGTGGCACCTGCTGCAAGTTCTGAGGAGTCCGGCATCAGCCCTCACATAACTTAACCTCGCCACAAAAACTAACTTTTTTTTCGGGGGGGGGGGGGGGGGGGGGGGGGGAAAAAGGGCCCCAGGTGGAAGGTGTTTGGGGTT